GAAAACAAAGTTATATAAAAATAAATATTTGTGGTTTTTTAAAATTTTTTTTTTTTTTTTTTTGTCAAACTTTATTTTATTTTTTATATTTTATTGGTATCCAAAGGGTTTTCAATGCTTTTTGTTTGAATTTTTTTTGTATTTTTTTAATAAAAGTATTGGTCTATTAACATAACTGAACAAGAGAGGGTAATGGCTAAAGAAAATTGTAAAACGGTGGATGTAATAGAGTTTGGAGAGATGGGCATATGTTTTCAAGACCAAGAAATGATCTCACACTATTAACCACATGAAGACCAGGTGTTTACACCCCCCCTTCCTGGCCAGGCCTTTTTTTCAGTATTCAGCACTGCAGTACCTTGACTGACATTTATTCCGTCATGCAGCGCTGTACTGAAATTAATTTTATACCATTTTTTTGAGGACAGATAGAGCTTTCATTTGGTGGTGGCTTTTTTCTTTACATTATAATACGTTTTGTTATTACACAATTTTCTCTAAAATATAAAAGTCAGGGTCACGTCGGGTAAATAGACACCAAACATACCGAGCCTTAAAATTGAGCGCACCTGCGAAATTGCAAAAAACGACCATACCCAAAATTTGCCATAGGCGATGCTTTAAAAGCTTTTATCGCTCATCAGTTTAGTGTTATCAGTGAATAATGTCCTTAGAATTATTGTTCGTGCTCTGACGTTCGCTCTGATATGTAACGTGTGCGGCGTAATGGGTGCAATCGTTTTTGCACGTATGCGCACCCGACCCACGTGCTTGTGGGGCTGGGGACTTACATTTTTTCACTTAACGTTGTCATATAGGGACCAAGAAGCCCCCTATGTGAAAGCAAAGAGGATGTGGCAGGTCATCTTTATGGAGACATCAGGGGTCTTTAAGACCCCTAATGTCACATAGGGACCCCCAAAGAAGCTAATGAAGCAGAGATCTGCTTCATCAGCTTCTCTCGAGCTTCTGTAGCTGGAGAGTGACAGCAGAATGTGGTACTATACATCACTTTGTACATTCTGACACTGGAGAGGAGATTGGAGGGAGATCGTGTGCTGATCCCCTGTCAGAGCTGCCATGCCACTCCTGGGCCCACACCGGGCACATTGAAGCTCAGGACCAGTGCTGCGGAGGTGGTGGGGGGGGGCGTGTGCGGCACTGGGGGCGTTGCGCACAGACCGGCACCTCATACAGAGCCGCCGCACTGCTTGTATGTAAACATCGTTTACATGTTTTAAATTGACAAGTTTCCTGGCGCAAACGAGTGGGCGGGCTGAACAGGTAAAAACGCCCTGTTACTTCCAAATATCTGCCAGCCGTTTGATTCCAGCGGCCGGCCTTGAAGCGGTTAATGGTTCCTCAAGTACCTTATTAGATCTTTGTCTCTTATAGGTTAACAGGTTAGGTCTAATAAATAAGTGTTCCTCAATTGTTGTCATGCTTTGGCCAATGTTCTGCTGGGAAACCTTTGGCCCTCTATTTATGTAGATGTTACTTTGACATGTACAACCTACCCCCTTCATGGAAACTGCATTCCCTGATGGCAGTGGCCTCTTTCAGCAGGATAATGCACCCTGCCACACTGCACAAATGGTTTGAGGAACACAACGAGTTTGAGGTTTTGACTTGGACCTCCAAATTGTCCAGATCTTAATCCATTTGTGCGATGTGCTGGAAAAACAAGTCCGATCCATGGGGGCCCCGTCTAGCAACTTACAGGACTTAAAGGATCTCAGGGGTGTGGAAATAAAAAAAATAAAAAAACTACTTGTCCAAGGACTAATGTGGGGCCCAATCTACTTGTCCCTCATGACCATCTACTTGTCGTGATACAAAAAATAATTTTATCCAAAACCATATTTAACCATGCTAAGAAGCACTTCTCATTGGTCAGGTGTCCACACTGACCAGTGAGTGCACGCAATTTGCGATCGAAATTAAAAATCCGTGGCACAGGGCTGTGCTGGACAGCCGTACGGGGTATGGATAGTACACCTGTTCCAGCAGAGGGAAAGAACTGTTCACCAAAAGGTAAGTATGGGGGAGAGAGGGGGACCACCTTTTGAGCAGGTAATTCGGTTTTCCCAAATTACTTGGGAAAGTGAACTTACTCTTTAATGCACATTGTGAGTGCCAGAGAGCGCACAATGTGGCACACCAGTGGAATAGGGGCAGCACACGGCGTGCACACACACAATGCCCTATGCATTTTTGGGTATGTTTCCATCAATCCTCTACATTCTTCCAGGATAGTGGTATAGTAGGTTATTAATACATGCCCCTTTCATTGGAAATATTTTATTGATATTTAATTATAAGCACTTAATTCAGAAATGACACATTGGGGGACGGAGTTGCAACAAAATTGGCTAATTGCAAAGTTTTATCTCTGTTTCACGCCTTTTTCAAAGTGTTTTTTTGACATTTCTATTTGCAACTCGTTGCACGTTCTGCAAAATTTGCATAATTTCTCAACGGCACAGTAATTGCATCCAGCATTTTCTAATTAAAAAAACTCCAAGCTGTCACTCATTCTAGAAGTCCTCTTGAGCACTTAAAGTATGGCAAAGATTACTCTGTTTCATACCCTCAAGTCAGCTGTCATCTTAGGGTGCCAGGAGTTTTTCCTGCAAGCTTGGGGCAGTTTAGAGACAATTTAGAGACCATTCTCCTTGTGAAAGCATTTAAGAATGAAACATAAACAAGGATAATATATCTGTCACTATATGCACTAGAACTCAGGGATACAACACTTTAAAAGATGCAGATGATGTGACAACATTGATAAATTCTCTCCAGTGTGTTTTAATTAATGTAAGTCATGTGGGAAATTTAGTCAGCAATGCCTGCAACAGTAAACCTCAGTTGTTTTTTGTTGTTGCTGTGGACCTATTTATATTCTGCATAGTCTTTCATTCAGCCGCATGTTTTCATTTTTGTTTTCTCCAGAATGCAATGTATCTAATGGTACAGATGGGGTTCACTTCATCTTCAACAGAGATGGCAAACCAAGAGGAGATGCAATCATTGAATTTGAGACAGCAGAGGACTTGTCGAAAGCTTTGGAACAGCACAAAAAGTATATGGGGCAACGCTATGTGGAAGGTGAGCAAATGACTACTCGGTGACTGACTCGTAGACAAATGACTATTGATCAGCTGTTAGAAAGGTAAACCCTTTTTTTTTTTTTCATGGAAAATTATTGAAACCTTTTTTTTTTTTTGCATGAAGCAGTGAGATGGATACTGATGCAAAGAAAGGAGAAACGTAGACCACATTTTTAATTTATATTATGCTGATAATATTGCAGGTTTTTTTCCCAATTGAGCTTCCAAAATTGTTGCATGCAAGTGAACAGTGCACAGACACCCACAGCTTTTTTTAAAAATAATTTCTTGCACAACCAAGTGATTTAAATTGGGGTTGAAAAGGGTCCCCTTTTCAGTTGGCATTTAACATGGTTTTGATCCGTGTTCATGGAAATGTTGATTGGTTGCATGAAAATGGGAAATGGTAAAGGTGCCCATACACCTTACAATTTATCTGCAGATTTTCTGTGGTCGGATGGAAAAAGTGCAACAGATTGGCCAAGTTGGAGATTACTCCATCCACACAGTTAAGTGTAGATGGAGGAATCTGTTGCACCTTTTCCATCTGACCACAGAAAATCTGCAGATAATTGTAAGGTGTGTGGCCAGCTTTAGAATAGTGGATCCTGGATTGCTGTAAACCAGTCAACTTGCTGAATTCTTTTTTTTTCCAATGGAAACCTGATAGAAAACTATCACAATTGCCTTGTGTGACCAGAATAAAGGTGGCCATACACTCTACAACCATCGCAAGACTCTAGTCTTGCGATGGTTGTACAGGGATTAAAAAAAACGTACGATCTGCCTATCTTGGACAGGCAGATCGCACTCTCGATCATCGCAAGCCCGCCCCCCTGAGGGGCGGGCTTCCGATGACCGCAATGCTGAACGGGCAGTGTGCGCACACTGGCCCGTTCGGCATTTGTCTTCCGAGCATCGTTCTGACCAGCTGAGAATCGTACGATTCCCGGCTGGTTTTCGAACATGCTGGTTCGACAGAAGACGTGCGACCGTACAGTAGAAACAGTCGCACGTCTCCGTTCACACTGCTCGATTATCGTACGAAAAACCGATCGCATACGATTATCGTACGATAATCGTGCAGTGTATGGGCACCTTAAGCCTTACAAATATATTTATATATATATTTTCATGTGTGTTTATTGCTTTTGTCTGTTACTTTCAACCTTTCAGTACTATGTCTTAATAGGAAACATGTGGGCTTCCTTTAAGCAGTCTGTTTGGTATATTGCAGTGTTTGAAATGAGCCACAAGGATGCAGAGTTACTTTTGCGAAGACTCCAGACTTCTACATCACCGACTGGAATGTCATCAATGTCGCAGACTGCGACGATGCCTGCTAGCCCAAATGATGCCACAGTGAGGCTTCGCGGTTTACCCTACAGCTGTACTGAACAGGATATCCTAAATTTCTTTTCAGGTGACTAGTCACGGTGATTTATTTTTGTTGTTTTGTTTAAATGCTAATATTGATTTATTATCATATATTTTCTTTAAAGGAGAACTATGAGGAGAGTGCTTTTCACTCACCTCAAAGTTCTAGCCGACCTGTGACAATGAGACTGTCACAGGTCGGCTCAGTAGATCGGGAGGTGAGCGAACACATACCGGCGTTCGCTCACCTTTCGATCCTGTCACGGCTCTCTGCCGTGACAGGGGGAGGGGCTGGATTCCCCTCTCCCCGCTCCGACCCGCCAGTGCTGACTGACAGAACGGACGGGGGAGGGGGCGGATACAGCTGGCTCTGCCTCTAGATAGGCAGAGCCAGCTGTCACTCACGCAGCTGGGCAGATTCCATCGTCTAAGTCCAGTCTAAGTTCAGTTCAAAAGTCTGTGTAAAGTGAAAATGTGCTTGCCAAATACGGTGTATAAAAAAAACACAACTTAATAGTCTTTGTACAAATCTATATCTTCCTCTGGCCTTGTGTTCCACACAACCAAAATTTCCTTCAAGTGCCACCCAGTGGTTGCGTACTCCACATCTTACAGTGGACACACTCCCCAAAACAGCTGAACCTCCTATTATCACCTGATGTTTCATCTATGTCTAACAGTAGTGAAGACATCTATAGTGAAACTCTACTTGATTAAAAAAAAATGTGTATTCTCTTCTTTGCAAAATGTACTCAAAGCACCATGTGTATCAGCAAAAAAAAACAGTATCATCGCAAGCATCCATCTCATGCCCCAACCTGCACCAGTCTTAGCATCTGTTTTCCAGGGGACTTCAGGTGTGTGTGTGATGGCGTATCTCATTCTAACTTGACCTACGTGTTTCATTACTTCTTACTTAATACATCAGGGGCGTGAGCAGTAAATATATCCGCATGAAAAGAGTGGAGATAACAGTTAGCACCTACTTTTAATGTTGCCAAAACATCACAATTTAGCCCAGTAGAACCAGTACATTGTGCACTGCGCATGTATTTGTAAATGTACTTTCATCTACTTGACTGATGAAATACAATAAAACTATTATTTACAACCTTAGAACATATGTGAGGCACAGAGGTGCGTAGATTGTAAAAAAAAAAATGGAAAGGTCTCTGCCCAGGGGTCACAGGTACTGCTGCTGCATGCTGATAAAATGCTACTGACTGCATACTTGTGTACAGGTAAGGATGTACACCCCTACCCAGAGTCTGCGTTTACGGACATACATTTGTAGCTGTAGGCAGTCCTGCATACCCAGTTTCAATCCAGACCCTTGAAAATCAACATTCTGGCATTGTGGGACATGTAGGCTGAGTCTCTGGTTTGTCCTGTACACCTGACCAGCAAGTCAAGGCTTAACCTGGTGTGGCCCCCTTTTATCCCCAGTCTGGTGCTGGAGTCAGCATTGCCACTGCAGTGGCTTATGTCAACCATCAGGGAGACACCAGCACAGCTCAAAGAGAAGCGGACTTTTTCCTGGCTAGGGTAGAACTTCACATTCCGGTCCTGACTGCTGTGCACCTTCCAGGAATCGAAAAATAGTTAGGCAGACTTCCTCCATTGACAAATTCTGGATTCCAGCGAATGGTCTCTTTTATGCAGAGGTATTTTGAGCTCTCTGTCGCAGATGGGGACCACCAGCTTTGGACCTCCATGTGTCCAGGTTCAACAACAAACTGGACAGTTTTGGCACCAGGAATTCACAAACCTTCATAGTTGATGCTTTGATGACTGCAGGTTCAGTTCAAACTGCTCTACGGTTATCTTAAGCTCCTTTCTCACCTACTGCCCACAATCAGGATGGAGGACATTCTGATGTTCCTTATTGCATGGAACTGACCCTGGAAGATGTGGTACTCGGACATAGTCAAACTCCTAACAGACTTTGTGTGCCCTCCCAGATCATTCCAATCTTCTGTTCTAGGGAGTGTTCACCCTGTTCATTGGTTGCTGGCTTTAGTGGCTTAGCTGGCGAAGGCAAGGTCCAAGGGTTAATCGGATTCGGTCATTCCCATGCTCTTAAATCTAGGAAATTGACTTTTGCACTTGGATGGTTTACTTTGCTTAGTGCAAGTTAAGAAAATCCGATCCCGGGAGAGAATACAGTTGGCCTTGAGTGCCATCAAGTGTGAAATCGTGAGCTTAGTGGTTTCTTTCAGAGACAGAATGCCTCTCACTCTGTAGCAAAAGCCATTGTACAAGGTGTTGCCCATGCCTTAGTAAAGTCCTAGGTACAAGGTGTTACTCGCTTTGTTCCTTTTGTGCATCCCTGTCTCTGGGATCTCAATCTAGTCCCATTAGTCCTTCAGAGACCACCCATGGAGCCTATTGAGGATATTCCTCTGTGTACCCTTACTCGCTAGGTTGCCATTCTCATCATCATTTGCTCACTGAATTTAGGAATTGGCGGCTTGACTTGTAAAGCACTCTTTCTTGTGCTACACAGGGGCAAGGTTGTTTTGAGAACTATAGGCCTTCTTTCCTTCCCAAGTTGGTTTCACCCATTCACCTTAAATTGATATCAAAGTTAAAAGAATTTTAAGCTATTTCCAATGCTGATGAAATCGCTTACAATGAATGCTGCTTCTTGATGTTTAAAAGTTTGTTTCCGGCAAAAATGTAAAGCAATGCTTTGCTGGGCATTGTATGTGTCCTTAGATCTAGATTAATTACTGAGAAAAAGTTAGAGTTTTTAATACTACTTTAACCAGGACATTGTTCTACCGTATCTTTGTTTTACTCCTAAACAAACATACAAAGGATATTTCCCTCCATTGTCTGGATGTGGTATCTGCTGTTAAGAGTTTATCTCTCTGCTACAGCTCTCTTTCAAAAGTCTGACAGTTTGTCATTCTTGAATGACCCCCCCCCCCATAGGCCAGCCTTCTTCTCATGTCACTATCTCCTAGATGGATTAGACTAATCCTCTTCAAAGCTGACCTGATGGGCGAGATTCCTTTTCCGGTTGCACTCTACTAGATCTGTTTAGTGCTTCCTGGGCCTTTCAGCATCAGGCTTCTTTTGCCCGGTATGGTCACATGAGGGCTCAGGGCTTCCTTTCTTTCTCCTGGTGGCTGAAGGGGATTGATGGGAAGGTGAAGATGTGTGGTGGGGTTGAGGTTAAGCAAACCTGTATGTCTGCCCTGCACAGGCACAGGTTAACTTTAAAACTAGTGTTTTAGAGAAAATGTGAATAACTAAAAACAAATGCTTTTTTGCCAAACAAAAATTCTTTCAGTTGTGGTAAGCTATTGGCATGTATCTCTAGAGAAAACCATAAACTCCAAGTAATCATCCAACTGATATCTCAAAACCAACATCACATCAAAGTCCCCTATTTATTTAGCAGAAAGCTATACAGTTCAACACGTGTTAAAACATACTCAATCTCAAACAGACATGTTAGTCACTGATATCCGTGGAGGAAGTACAAATTACAGTGTCATCTTTGCCCCGTTTTAATCCCTAGGTGCCAGGGGACTGCTAGTAGTTTTATAGTGCCTTTTGGGCAGATTGTTAGAGGAAGTGAATCCCATCTGCAATTTAAATTTTCACAATCTGTGAATAAGACTTACCTTCTAGATGGAATCCTGGATCCTCTCCATGCTTTGCAATTGACTTCTAGTTACTTAGAATGCCGGTTTTCTATAGAAAGCTCCGACTTGTCGAGCTCTCCGGCTGGGCACGTCGCCTCCGGTGACTGCCAGTAGGAGATGTACAGCAGATGGAGCTAGTGCCCATCAGCAGAAAATCCTTGTCGAACTGTCTTAACTTTTACCACTGCGGCTAGCGGCTCATCGGATTCTATAACCCGGTACAAACTTATATTTGTCCTAGGTTATAGAAGCCGATAGCTGCGCAGTGGCAACTGTGGTTGTAGACAGAATCATGTGGCCGCGCAGGCGCTGTAACATAATATAACCATTGACTGGGTTATAGAAGCCGATGCGTGGCTATCGGCTTCTACAACCTAGGACAAATATAACTGTAGTAGGTTATAGAAGTGGATAGCCGCGCAGGCGCTGTGGCAATAGTTGGACGTTTTGACAAGGATTTCCTGGGCATGCGCACTAGCACCAACTGCTGTAGATCTCCTACTGGCAGTCACTGGATGTGACGACAGCAGTTGGAGAGGTAGACGGGTTGTAACTCTCGATAGAACACCGGTTCTGTGGATGAAGGCAAAATGTTTGATTCTGTGAAGCAGAGATACTCATGGTTGGTGCTCCAGGGCGTTAGGTTTGGTCGAAAAATAGATCCAGTTATTAAGTTCCAACGACGTACATCCATAGTGTTTGGTGGACATCCATTCACCAAATACTAGGCAGAAGATACCCACTGTCCCAACTAATATTCACATTAACCTTTAAACCCCTGGCAACAAAAATCATTCAACTTTCAAAATAATAGTTTTCCAGCTACAAGTCTCCGGCAATCAGCTTTAGCTGGTATGCCAGGGTGTTTTCTCCTTTTCATATTAGACGGGAAGAAATCTTTTATATGTGTTCTTTTCTAGTACAACTTTTAGCTTGTCATGTTATGTTTACAGGTCTGAGCATAGCAGATGAAGGCATAACATTTGTTTTGGACCAGAGAGGACGTAAATCTGGGGAGGCATTTGTACAGTTTGTCTCACAAGAACATGCTGAACATGCACTTCTGAAACACAAGCAGGAAATTGGCAGCAGGTACTGTTAGCCATCTGGCTGTGGCTGGTTGTCACGCTCTGTCATTAGTCTTGTTGGTTACATTTAAGGTGCAAGTAGATTATAATATAATACTAAATATACTTGTATATATTTGCCCACATATTTACTTTTTTGTTATGTTGTTCCATTTTCAGGTATATTGAGATATTTCCGAGCAGAAGAAGTGAAATTCAGAATGCTCGTCTGAATTTCCGTAGAAGAAAAGCTGTTACATTTGCCCCTACCATGAAAGACTTTTATGAGCCAGATGTCTCTCTCAATAATGCTAGCAATGATCTGCATGCTGATGTGGCCCCTGAAAATGATGACATTGATGGTAAGATACTGGTATATTTTTCTTTCTTTTGTCCTATCTCCACGCTTGCTTGGATATAGATAATAAAGCATTCTGCTGTTTACTCCTACTTGTGTCATGTGATTTATCTTGGTAAAAAAAACTGACTTAGGGTACCTCCCAAGAGCACATTCATCTGCTGCTTTATATGCAGAGCTACTTCTCAGCTGTACAGGCCAACAAACGAAAAATTAGAGATGACTGTTTTTTCTTAGCTGTAAAGTGGCCAGCATGGGGAAACAAAAGAAAAATCACTATTTGTAAATGTTGGGGGGGCAGCAGCACCAAACCTTGTAAGCAAGCTATTTGCCTATGAGTACTATTATGCTAAATGAATTTCTTGATGATTTCTAAACCTTGAGGGCCCGTTCACACCATGACCAGATCATCTCCAGACCAGATTGTTTCCAGACCCAAAATGCATCCCAATGTATCCCTATGCTATTTCTGGCCTCTGTTCACACCAGCGCAGTCCGTTACAGACCAGAAAAATACTGCATGTCTCATTTGTCTGGTCTGGAATGCACTGGATTGCAAATAATAGCATACAAACACACCGGAACGCACCTTTCAGACCATTTTAAGCAAAAAAATATTCCAAACGCGGCAAAATGCAATGCACTGCGTTCCAGGTCTGGTCCAGAAAATGGTGTGAACCTGCCCTCAGTGTATGTTAAATGGCAGCTAATATAAGGAATTGAATCTGCCTTTGCATTGTATGCAGTGTTAAACTCCTTGGTCCCCCCACAGTGTTGAGTGGTTCCTCCTGCTGACCTCAACATCACGACTGTACACTGTAGTGATGGGAAGCTTGGCGGGAGGAACTAACTAGTAAATGGTGCAGGGGACCAAAGAGATGGACATTCCCAGAAGTGTCAGTTTCTTGAGTTCAGTGGAGTATTTCTAAAAGAAAGGTGTAGCCTTTTAGCAGTGCGAATACCGGCATTACAAAGCCTGATATAACTCGTCACGTACAGTGTACGTGGCCAGTCATATAGGCACAAAGTGACGGGACGTACACTGTACGTCGACCATCACAAAGGGGTTAAAAGCGAAATATCTAAATTGTTTTTCTTTTTCTCTGGTATATTTTTTTGAATTTTTCTTGTTTAATGACAACCTTTTCTGTGCCAACTACGTAAGCTATGCATCGGGACAAAACAATTTGAATCCTGTTGGTTGAAGTGAGCAGCACTTCCCCCATTCTTTTTTTTTTTTTAAATTATTCTTTTCCATCATAATGTTCATCTGTTTGTTTCCCCAGAATATGTAAAGGAGATGTCTGGAAAGTGTATGGATTCACAAGACTTCACAGTGGGATCACCTGTCCATGATATCCACATTAGAGGGCTACCATTCCATGTATCGGGGCAGGATATTGCCAATGTAAGTTATAATTAACCTAGATATAAATATAGAGCTTTAACCCTTTTTTGCTGGCAGCGGGCCCCTTTAAACAGACAACGCCGGGACTCTGTTTACATTTGTAGAGGTGGTGACCAGCTTTACAATAGAAGCGATTCTGGCGACTTCTACATGCTGTTAAACTGCCTGACACCCCCGCCGTGTTTCCTGGGCTCCGCTGCCCCTCCTGCGTGCTCGGGACCGGCATCTCGTTTGTCGGCGGGAAGCTGGGGAGGAGAGCTGTGAAACATCTGCTCGCCACTCTCCTCCCCACTCTATGGGAGTGGGAGCGATGCAGATTACATCATTTCCAGTCCCTGAGCTGTCAGTGCTGGGCTCCTAAAGCCCAGCAATAGGCTATTGAAGTGCGATCTGCACTTCAATATCTTTAAAGTGAAACTAGGGGACTTTTGGACCCCCAGTATCACCTTATAGAGTACCTGTCTCTGCCAATATGCTATCACATGGGGGGGGGCTTGTAAGGTCCCCTATGTGATAGCAATTATAGTAAAGCATCATCTATGGACATTTTGGGATACAGAATTTTGTCGCCGTTTCACGGACACTATTTTTAACCTGAGCATGTTGGGTATCTATTTACTTATTGTAACCTCATCTTTTATATTGTATTTAAAAATGGGTGGTTTATTGTGTTTCTATCCTTTTTTTAAAATGCATTTTTCACTAAATTTTTGGATTTGATGATAAGCTGTGCTCCATTTTATTCTACAGGGTCTTGGTTTTCAGAAAATATATAATGTTTGGGGGTTTGAAGTAATTTTCAGGCCTAAAATGTGGATTATAACATGGGTGCAAAAAAACATAGGTCATTAAGGGGTTAAACTCCAGGCAAATGGCCTAGCATGCATTTGCTATACATATGTTACCTGCCAATAATTTGCAAGTTAACACAAATCTGTAACTACACAGCTTAGCCAGGCAGTTTACATTAATTTCCTATTTCAACTTTTCAGCTTCTTGTGTGACCAGCCTGTTCATTAGGCAGTACATCTGTGTCATTACAGTGCTGAATTGTGGTCCATTGAGCAATCCAGGAAACCTGTAAAGCTGAAGCAGGAAATAACCGTGTCACTTGGTTGACTATATAGTGTGGCAGGGCAACACTAGCTAAATAGAATAAAACAGTAAATCGGTTGACATTTTGTTTTTCTGGAGTACTAAGATCCTTCTGGATAAGAGTTTTACAACTGTGTTACTGGAATATGTCTGCAGTATACAAAAATCCTTTTTCTCTTTTTAGTTTTTCCATCCTGTAATGCCTCTGAAGATCAATATTGAGTTTAGTGCAGATGCAGGAGGTACTTCTGGTGAAGCTGTTGTAAGATTTCTGACTCATGAGGATGCCATAGCTGCCATGGCCAAAAACAGATGTCATATGCGTAAGTCGATCTACCATCATCCAAATGATTCATTATTCCAATTTTTGGGTGTTCTTTTGCCGTGCTGCTGGTTATAGTTTTAAATTGTACATCACAGGAGACAGGATCAGTCATAAACCACTGGATTATATGCTGCCTTCAGGTGACTGGACACTGGCAATCAAAGCTGTAGTGTCTTTAGGTGATGGGTGCCTACTCTCTGCAGAGAGAAGCAAACCTCAAGACTCTTCTGGCAATATTCCGCATGTAATATGCTAGGTCAATCATTGCTTTTCTTCACCTGGGGGATCTTTTGGCCATCAAGGATGCCTACCTGCACATCTATATCATCTCGGCGCTACCTGCATTTTGCTGTGTGTGCATAATATTACCAATTTGGGCCCTTACCTTTTTGGCCTGTAAGGGCAGCAACTTGGATCTTCACTAAGTTGTTGGCACCCATCCTAGCTCTGCTTCACCCTCCGAGCATCTGTAGGTTACTTGCACAATCTCCTGCAAAGGGACAGTCAGTCCAGACTCTGTCAGCCCACTGTTCACCACACAGTGCAGTCCCAGCAGAGATTCAGTTTGATCAAAAATCAGCACTGGATCCAACTCATCGGTCTGGGTATCTGGGCCTAATCCTGTCCAGGGTCTTCCTCCCTCAGGACAGGCTCCTCACCCTCCATTTTCATCTATGGAACTTGTTGTCCAGGGGCCATCCATCCATTCGATTTTGCATGAAGTTTTGGGGGCTAATGGTGGCCTCCTTCGAGGCATTCCTACATGCCTAATTTCACTCCATGCCATTACAACTCAACATTCTGGCAGTGTGGGACAAGCTGACTCTGGAGCATCTCATATAGCTGACCAGCAAACCCAGGCTTGCCATGGTGTGGTGAGTTTTCAAGCTAACAATGGAATTGGGGAAATCATTTATTCTGATAACCTGTAAGGTACTCACAACAGGTGCCAGCTTGTCATCCTGAGGGGGAGCCTGGATACACTTGCAGTGTCGGGGACTTGGTTTTCGGGGGAGCTTGACTTCCGATTAATATCCTGGAGCTCAGGGCATCTCAGTTGTCCCTTCAACACTGGACCGCTTGACGGCTGAGTCGTCTGACTTGGAGTAACTTGGACATTGCCACAGCAGTGGCTTAGGTCAATCATCAGGGTGTCGCGCAGCTCAAAGAGAAGCAGAACGTCACATTCTGACCCCTACGGCTGTGCACATCCCAGGTGTGGAAAACGAATGGGTATTTCTCTATCTCAATGTCTGGTTCCCGGAGAATGGTCTCTTCACACGGAGGTATTTCGAGATCTCTGTCATAGGTGGGTATTTCCAGACATGGACCTCCTGATGTGCAGGTTCAACATCAGATTGGATAGGTTTGTAGATTGGATCAGTTCATTCTGATCTACACTTTAACTCCTCTGAAGCTCCTTCCTTGTCTACTCTGCAGATCAGGTTGGAAGGTGTTTTCATTGCACCAAACTGACCCAGGAGACCATGGTACTTAGACATGCTCAGACTCCTGCCAGATACTCAAGGATGCCACCAGCACACCAATAGTAAAGTGAAATTAGTCCATTTAATGACTACACAATGCCATCCAAATTCAAGTGCTTATGGGGCTGCGCAGGGCCCTCTTCATCAGGCCCAGAATGACCTAGGACTCTACAGGTTAAAACTACAAACCGGTAAAGAGCGCAGCAAGGTGCATCTGTATTTTATTCTGGCAGATACTGTCCCAAAGACCGGTTTGCCACCATGATTCTTGTCCGCTCACATTGGCTTGGCTGTTGAAGGCCAGGTCTCTGCAATTGGATTCTCTTTGTCATTTCTGAGGTTCCTCATCGGGGTCATCCTGCCTCTCATTCCACCATTGCTAGGTTGATTACACAGCCCATAGTATACAGGGAAACATTTCCTTCATTCTGTTGAAGCACATTCACTCATGCTTCATGGGCTTTTCTGAACCAATTTATGTGTTTCCCAGATTTGCAAGGCTGCCACCCGGTCTTCTATTCATACATTCATATGCCTAACCTTTTTCCAGGTGGATGTTCGGGCCTCATCTGATGGCAGCTTCAGTCATAGCGTGCTTTATACTCCGAGAACAGCTTATATAAAAAAGAAAAGGTTAGCACTAACTCTCCCAAATCAAATTGGCGAGACAAGTTCTATAGTCCACAACAAATGAACAGTGCCCAGAAAATGTAACCTGTTATTCAACTTCCTGCAACAAAAGTATCCGTTGTCAAGCAGTCTTCACCTTTGTTTCATACTCGGTAATACCTTCACCAGAAGTCACCCAAATATCATTAAAGTATGGTAGTAAGCATCTGTAAGATCTCTCAGTACCACAGAGGTCAGGCCTCATTCAGAAATGGCCCCCCCCCCCCTTCCTGTGCTGCACTGCTTTTGGATGCCCCAGTGGTCTACGACTGATCCTGTGATGTACAATTTAAGACAACCAGGATTTTATGTCTTGCCTAAAATACTTTTCCTTAAAGTACATCACAGGTCAAAAGTCCCGTCCACACTCATCCTTCCCTGGTTCTATGATTCACTCCTTATTGCTTGCAGCTAAACTGAGGCTTACTATGAGTGGGAGGTGTTATATTGGAGCTGTCCATTACAGCTTTGTTTGCCAGAGTCCAATCACCTGAAGGCAGCATATAACCCAGTGGTCTATGATGCCTTATCCTGTGATGCACTTCAAGAACAGGATTTTGCATCTCCCAAGTCCTATTACTTTTACATCCACCTATTAATTTCACCCATCAATATATTTGACATACTCGTACTTTTTTGTGTTTATATACCTAGGTGTAGTAGACAGTGTACGTATATCCTACCTTTCTGTGATGGGATTTTTCCATTTCCTTATTTCTTTGTCTGAATATATGGTATCTGTGGTCATTGTAAGCAGGTTGGTTTGCTGTGAATTAGTTTCCGGCTAGCTCTGCCTAATTAATAGCTATAAGGGTAGTGTTGCAGTAGTTACTGTTGTGAAGGTATATACTGCACACTTTAAAGATGTTAATATTCACGCTTGTGGATGTCCCCCTTTTAATTATAAATGAATAAATAACTGACAGCTGCAGCAAAAGACCGACACAGCCAAAAGCAATGTGGCCAATAGAGTGCTAAAACAATACACTGCGCTATCTCCCCTTATTGTGAAACAATTGAATATAACCCATAAACTTCCAAATAGACAATAAAACAACAAATTTTGATTATCCTCAATATTTATGTACACATTATTCACATTGGTGATTTATACTGCTTGATTTGCATATCCTTGATATTAATGAGTCACACATTATTTCACACTGTTTAATATTCTTTGCACCATACTTATTGTATTTTATGGGTACACTTGATATACGGTGGTATACACACATGGGTGTGTTTTGGGGTTTTATTGTCTATTTGGAAGTTTATGGGTTATATTCAATTGTTTCACAATAAGGGGAGATAGCGCGGTGTATTGTTTTAGCACATATACTCCACACTGGTAACATAGCGTCAGTTTGTAAATGTAATATAACACTTAAACCCACACTCTCCTACTAATCTGTCATGTTTTATAGCCTTCTGCCCACTAATGTGTATTCATAACACTTTGATATTTGTTATTGCATAAACTTTTAATTTGACCAAAGCAGTGTCTTGATAAGTTGGCTTCACACTGCAGGGGGCGTATAACCTACAAGCTAGCCTCGCACCGAAAAATGAATGCATTAATACCCTGTTGAACTTTTTAATTGGCTCGAATGTACTGTAGGTCATTGCAATGTAGCATAAAGGAATTTTTTAAAGTGCATTGCAGGTCCTATGGGAAAAAATATCTAATTTCAACATTTCTGTTGTGAAGAAGCTCACAGAACTATCCAATGTTCAGGTGCTGCTAAAATTTTAATAATGCCTCAGATTACCAGATGATTAGAACACTGTAGCTGTTTGAAACCAAAATGCAGGAAAATCATCCCTAAATGCAGGTGAATCCTCTTCACAGATCTTTTTTTCTTTCCACGGATGGCCTCAGTCTGTAATTTTTAAGGACAGCCTGTGAATTTCTGGACATTTGGCAGCCTTTATGTTGAACACTTGTCCAGTCAGATTACCTAAGTGACTGGCTGCTTGAACCTGCCTCTGAAACAGGAGGGACAGACAAAGCTATCCCTCAGTAGCGTTAAACAATTGAGTACAAGGGCCAGTGTTGACAGGCTGTTGTTCATATTAAACAGGTTTTGTATTCCCATAGAAGAGTAGGTCGTATGCACCTGTCCGTATACTCTGAATGACCTCATAAGCATCTCAAACCGATGCCATCAACACAGGCCCTTAGAAAGCTTTACCTAGTAGATCGCTGATGGGGCAGCAGTTGGAAAAAAAGCATTAAAAAAAGGACCTAAACTTTCATGCTATCCCAAGTGTAGTACATGGTGTGACGGACTCCAGTACTCGGGATGAGTATGTCCGCCGCTGTATTCTTCCTTGCTCAGGAGATACTGCAACCTGAAGATCCTTAGCTCCCAGTTTCCCCAGTCCCTGGTCGAGACACAAGTGTAGGGTGAAACAAACTCTGATTTATTGAGAGACTGTGCAACCTTTTATACACAAAGTGATCAGATAAAACTAAAATTCCATCACATCCCCCTTCCCTCCCCAGACATTCTGTCTTCACAACACCATAGGGGTCCACCTACTAAATAGCTCCAGACAGCCATAGCAGGAGCCTGGCCAGAATGTCTGTGTTCTGAGCTCCTTCAGAGTGCAATGGGAGATAACGAGGGGTGGTGCTGACAGTCTTTTCATAACCAGGTCACACAGTATAACGCACTTAAACCCAACACCAATACACATTTCACTCATAAACTCATCACCATGTCGCCACACATGGTTTTAGCAAAGCTGTAAACATATTACTAAAATTATTAATAGAATACTTTCTTTAGCCATAAATGCATTGTTTGTTTATTTTCTTCTCCTAGAACAAGGGTATTTAGAACTTTTCCTGAATTCGTCACCAGATGCTAAATGAAGTCCATGTTAGTGTTGGTATTAACATTAAAAAAAAAAAGGTAAGATTCATTTAAAAGACAAGTCTCAAAACTTTTTTTTTTTTTTCACCCATTGCAAAATGGGACTTGTACATATTTACCTTTTTGATCTGCTTTTTCCAAACAGTTTCTCTAGTTTGCACTGTGATTCTAAAGTGACGGCGGCAAGCAATGGATTGTATAGTTACAGTGGGGTGGCTGATTTGAACTGATACTGCATGATATTTTCCTATATTTTTGAAGAACAAATTAACTGGAGTTAGGGATCAGTTGGATCAGTGGTTCTCAACACGTGTAACCTCAAGACCCACATTTGTCCTAGGTCATTAAATCATGACCAAAGTTAAACTGCACCGGAATGCATGGCATTGCAGTACCACACATCCCAGTGCGGGTGATGGAACTGTGGGTGGTAGGTGCATTTGGGGGTGCCTTTCAATTGGAATGGCAACGCACCTCCCGCACCAGAACACGCTTTATTGGCACAGAACTGTTAATCACACAAGGCTGGGAAGCCTCATCTAGTGCAGTGAAAGGCAAACGGTGACCCACTGAACACAGGACCACGACCCACGAGTTATAAACCACTGAGTTGGATGATGTGTTCTGCTTTGAATGAGCCCTGTTATTCCTGTAGGTCTTGGAGCTCCTGCTGCAACCATCTGCAGCGCCCTGAAGATATAACGTGAAGCTGTGGCTGTATGGTGCTACAGCCTGGTGTTAATGTATGCACTAAGCAGTACCAGCTCAAGGACACACACGAATTACAGACCTCGCTCGTTGCTCATCTGCAGCTTTAGGTCCTTTTACACAGCTTTAGGTCCTTTCACAAGGGGCGAAGGGGGTTCTTCTCAGTTCGAGCGGTTAGGGTCTGGAACTCGTTGCCACAAGCAGTGATTTCAGCTAATAGTGTGGAATCATTCAAGAAGCTTTTGGACGATTTCCTGAGAAACGGTAATATACAGGGGTACAAGTACTCCTAATAACGAGATGACTCAGACACACACACACACACACACACACACACACACACACACACACACACACGGACTTGATGGACATGTGTCTTTATTCAACCTCAAATACTATGTAATTACACATGGGCGCCTTGTTTTGATTAACGGGGATCGAAGCAGTTAGGAACGGATGGCACCATTGTGACATCTGTGTCTGTCCAGTTTTTTTTTTTTTTTTCCTCCATCTTGTGATGGTGGAAGATACTGAAATTTAAGGGAACCATGTTGGTCTGTCGGGAGTCAATTACCCTGATCCACCACAGTCGGCTCTGCCAAAACGGAACTCTGTTCCATTTGGGTTTCTGGAGCTGGCTGGAGTCTGGGCTTATAGAATGCAAATGGGCACACTTCCGTTCAGATCCGGCTGACCATGGACTAACACTGGGCTTCTGATCAGGTCTGCCTGTCATTTTGGAAGGGGACTTATGGTTCAATGTCCTCCTGTTAACATTAATCTTTCCATAAAGTACAAATGTTAAATATTTTTTTTCTTTTTTCCTATTGCAGGGCGAAATAAGACTGATTTCTCTTCTCTACGTCCCATCTGACTTGATTTTATCAGCCTGGAATCCTTCTAAATGCATACATAGGTGTATCTGTGGAAAACAATAAATATGTGGTACTAGTTCAGCAGGAAACCATTACTACAAAATAGTTAAGGTTGAACATGGAAAACATTGTTCCTGGCACATTGGGTGAACTATTGCAAACCAGCCTTTATGTTATTGCATCAAAAGTGCCTACGTTCATGCAGAGAATGTGACATGAGGCTTCCTGCTGGAATATTCAAAATTCAAACCAGTGGAAAGGAGCTGGTGAAGAATGAAATATTAGATTTATACAGGAGTTTATACATTGTGAATGATCCCAATTTTAGTTGTTAGGAATTGGACGCAGGTAAGAAGCAGTTTCCCAGCGTCAGTGTTTTATTTCTTGCTTATATGAGAGCACCATATGATGGATCTGTTTCTTGCATATTTCATGTGCATTGAATTCTAAATGTATTAAACGCTGTCCATGATTCCAACATTTTTCTCACTATGGAAAGGGATCAAACAGAATAAATGTTTCTGTTGTCTTGAATAGATTTTATTTTTTATTGCCAGCTGTGTTTGTGTGAATAATATTGATGCTACCTGGTTAAAGTACAAATGCAAAGTTCTAACTCAGAAATGCAGACCTACAGCCTACCAAGTAGGGTCATTGTTGGAGTAGTGGCAGTGACCTGCATCTTTAGGCAAAACAAATGGCAAACGCACTCATTAATTTGTCACCAGCTTTAAGCAAGGTGCACATGGAAGAGCTTTATACAGTAAAACAGCAAAAAGTTTCCCAGCACACTCACCAGCCAGCCTGCAAAAAAACCTGTGTAACCGCTAAGGTTAAAAACACAGGTTAAGATACACGTCTTCTGCAGAAAATGTGAAAGCCGCACTGCCTCGCCAAGGCACCTCCTATATATGATTGGTGCAGTGACGGAGGGGGGGGGGTCTCAGCTGCTGTTGTGTGCGGGGTCCCTTGTGCGTGCCTGTGCCTTTTAACCAGTTGACATCCAATCCGCCGTGTTAAACCCCCTTCCTGTCCAGGCCATTTTTCAGTATTCAGCACTGCGGTACTTTGACTGACATTTATTCCGTCATATAACGCTGTACTGAAATGAATTGTATACCATTTTTTGGGGACAGAGCTTTCTTTTGGTGGTATTTATTATATTAAGGAAAGATTACCGAAATTAAAAAAAAAAAAAAACTTTCCCCCATATTAAATGATAAAACATGTATTATTACCCAATTTTTTGGTAAAATATAAAAGTCGGGGTCACGTCGGGTAAAAAGACACCAAACATGTCAAGCCTTAAAATTGCGTGCGCGAAACCTCAAAAAAACGATAATACCCAAAATTGGCCATAGGCGACGCTTTAAAAGCTTTTACCGCTCATCAACTCAAAAAACGAGCACATATAGACGATCGGCGGGCTATAGAGCTGCCGATCGTCTATATGTGTAACACCCGGTAACGGGTGTTTGCATTGCACAGGACTTTTCTGCCCGTGCGCGCCCGCAGAAAAAAAAATGCCGTCTGGAGACGGCAACCCACCAATGCAGCAGTGCCGTCCGTCCTACAACGGGCGGACGGCAACTAGTTAAGGAGGTTGGGCTTCCTCCTGACAAACCTGCACCCAATTTGATCTTTTGCCACATGTGCTCCAAGATGGAGACTCTCATAGTTTAGAGTTAGGACCGCACTATATGGAGGTGCCTTGGCGTGGCTGTGCGGCTTTCACATTTTCTGCAGAAGACGTGTATCTAAACCTCTGCTTTTAACCTTAGCGGTGAGAAGTTTTTTTTGCATGCTGGCTGGTGAGTGTGCCTGGAAACGTTTTGCTGTTTTACCTGCATCTTTAGGACATTTCTCACCGCCAGCAAATATTTTATTGGTGTAATTCACACGTGTAGATGTGTTGAGGTGTGTTCAGTTTAGCCACATTTAGTAAACACGCAGAACGTAATCTGGGAACCATAAAGTTTGTTCATACTCCCCAGATAACTTCTCCTGAGTAAATAAAAACAATCGCTGGAGACTAGTGTGAATGCGGTAATGAAATCCTAGAAACCTCAAATTATGCATCCAAATAAAATCATAAGGAACTTAGAGAACTTTTAATCAATACAGTTAACGCTGCAATGGGTCTGCCTGGGTTTGAGGGCCATCTCAATATTGGTGGGGTATCAAAGGCCATTTGAGGGTAGTGCTGTACCCATGGCTGTTCCGTTTTAGATACCAAAGAAAAACCAACCCAAAATAACATTAGGTCCCTTTTGTCTGTTATTAAAAAAAACCAGCTTCTGTGGTTGTCTAAGAAGGTAAAAACCATACTTGTTGATCGTGCCATTAATCCTGTGAGCTGGTAAGTGCCTGTGCTGACTTATCAGTCATATTGTTCTTTGGTAGCTTTGAGGATTACAGAACCACACCACTCTGTTATGGAAAATAGGAGAAGTGCGGGTTTCCGTGGTCCTACTTTGTGTCCTGATAGAGGAGCAGTGGGTGAGTGTTGTCATCCTAGGACAGGATGTGTGTAACTGGAACAATCATCTGGTGAAAATAAAGAAAACAACTATTGCAGCCACCACATCTAAGGTGAGTTACAGTTTTGGTTTAGATATGCTTTAAATCTGCTCGCAGTTGACTTACGGTTCTGTAAACATTCTAGGCATCAGCACTTTGAACAAGATAACCGCCATCCTGTATAACAAAGTTGGTGCTGATGGTTACTTATATTTTAGAACCTGTTCCAGGACCTTTAGAAGGAAAGCTCTTTCCGGAGGACATCTTTAAATGTTTCACTGCTCTTTGTTTTGCATTACATAATGTGTTTTTGTGCTTTTAATAAAACCTACAAATCAAAGCATTTGTTAAAGGCACCCCAAGTATGTTTCTTTCTGTTTAGTTCTTTCTTCGTTCTGGATGGGGTAGAGAAGGATTGACACTGCTCGGTTTTTGCTACTGTCCACGGTTCCATTAGCGATTTCATATCACTTTCCCAGTAACAAGGGTTTGAAGTAAGGTGAAGGAAAATATCCAACACATATACAGACAGAACTAAAAACTCATTTTTGGAAGGCTAGAACCCTGGCGGCTTTTTAATGCTATTTATGTTGCCTGTGGAGGTTTTCCTTTTACTTCCTGAACTGTTGTCATAGTGACCGTAATTGAGAAAGCCCCAGGTAGCAGTACAGACTTCACAGCAGTTTGCATCCCCCTCCACTCTTATCAAAAACTGTTTTTGCACACAATTTTAAAGCTCAACATGTTTGTATCTATTTACCAAACTCAATCTCCTCCGCCCAGCTGCGTGAGTGACAGCAGGCTCTGCCTATCTAAAGGCAGAGCCCTCTCCTGTCCGTTCCGCCAGTCAGCGGAATCCTGTCCACTCTGCAGGGACAGGATCGAGAAATGAGCTAGCGACTGTATGTGTTCGCTCACTTCCCGATCTACTGAGCCGACGTGTTACAGGTTCATTGTCACATGTCAGCTCCGAGGATGAGTGATAAATCACTCGCCTCATAGTTCTCCTTTTAGTGTATTGACTAATTCACCTTTTCTGTTTCCCTCTATATGGGTTCTTAGTGTGTTTTATTCTGCATATATAGATAATATTCTGCATATATAGATAAGGCCACACAGGCAAACTACTGTAGATTACATAAGTAGTGAAACATGTTCTAATCCTTCCCACAGAAGTCCCAAAATATTTTTAACCATGAGGAATGAGTCGGTATAAATAAATACGCCAGGGTAAAAATAGAAGGAAGAATATCAGGTTCTAAACACACTTTTTGGTTTTCTATAAACAACGTTTTTACACCGATGCGATCTACATATAACAAATGGTGACTATAATGTAACTACCTGATTACACTGTATTACTCAAACACACTTGCAGCCTCTATGGGAGTATCATTTTATATAGAAGTAGCTGCTCAAGCTTTGTAATACATAACAGTTACTGCATGTCATTTTGACAGTAGTAATAGGGGGAGGGGGGTTCAGGAGCAGGATGTAGGTCCTGGAAACTAACGGTTTTAGGAGGTATCTTCTGCTTTTAAGGTCTTAAGTGGCTACATGTTTTTTAGCAATGATGAACCAGCACTTACCAGTTCCACAGTCTGACAACCAAAGGAACACACCCACAACAGTAGTGTAACTGCATTGATTTGCAATAACTACATATTTACTTTACACATTTAAACCTTTTTATTAGCCTTTTGCAAGTTCTATACAGTTTGTATTTGTCTTCCACTATAAATATATACAGCAAATCTTCCAACAGCTCCCAAAATAGCAGCAACTGAGATGTCAGCATCACACTTCACATTATAAAAACAAAACAACAAAATCTGTATAGTCTTATTCCAACCAATATATATATAATATATATATATATCTTCTTCAATAAATACATTACAAATCTATGTTTATAATACATTCTGTGGTCAGCAACATTCTGATTTATACAATGACTGATATTGTGCAGCAGAAAAGGCGGTAATTCTGTTTGTCATTCACCCTCATGTCATATTCCCACCCACGTTTTACCAACAGTTGGAGCTAGAAATAGGATGCCCGAACACAGGCATCTATATCGAAGAGACACTCCTTTATTGTGTCACTGATTTGGGCATTTGTTGATGGCTGTCTGGTAACTTCCAGTCAACACAAGGATGGCACAGATCATAGCTCAGTACATCATCAGACCCCGAATTCATGCAAGTGCAGTTTTAGTACAATGTTGTGTAGTCCATATGCAGCAATCTCTAATATAATCCTACAGAAGGAGTGCAATCTGCTAACAGCTGTCCAAAAAAAGTGTGGGGTGGGGGGGCGCTTCCTAGTAGTGTGAGGGCTTTCAGAGCTCACGTGTTTATGAAATCTGGTATTATCTGCCAAAGCAATGTATGATTATGCAGCGTTAGCCCTTTGTTTTTTTGGTTTCCTCTGGCAATCTCACATAGGTTAAGCACTAGTCAGAAGTGGCTAAAGAAATGGTCATGTATGTTGCCAAAATCCAACTCGAAGCTGCTCTCAAAATAGAATGCTTGCTG